GGCAAGTTTGTGTTTTGTGGCTGCGCGTGCAGTACAGGGGTTTTGAGTATCGGTGATGGTTCTCTTTCTGTAGTCCACGGAGGTACCAACATCCAGGTTCAAAAAAGTGTAACTGCAGCCAAGCCAAGGACCTGATAAGCTGCGCCAGGTAAGCACCATCTAACCGAATAAGAAGCGGGTGAGGACAGTCATGCTGTCCAGGCACGGGGTGGGCTTCTGCTCTGGGAAGCGCAGTGGTCAGTCAGCTCATCACCCCTTTCCCGTTTGGCCCCGTCCCCATCGTCTCTTGTTTGTCTAATTTCCTTTCCTCTTCATTCACGCAGGCCTGGCTCTTGCCTCCTCGACAGCCTTTTCTTTCCCAGGGTCTTCCTCCTCTCAGCCCACTTGTCAGACTTTCTTGCCCACAGAATTCCTAGTTTCTGGACATGCACTGCTAATGTCCCAGAGAGAGAAAACACAGTCAAACAAAACAGAACCACACAGGCAATCTGACAGCCCTCAAAGCAGTGCTGACAAGTGGCGACAAGGAACCAGGGACTTCAGAGTATTTCCAGGATGTAAATTCCCTTTGGATCTTGAAACATTTCTCAGAATGTTTCTTCTAATTTCTCTCTGCCTTTCTGTCCTGAATTACGTCTGTTTTGTGTTCTAGATCTCTGTGTTTGGAAATAAATGTATACGTAGAAATGTGTGTGTACGTATGGAGATTTGTCTTTCTCCAGAGCCGTAATGATCAGTCCTAGAGGAGATGGTAATTTTTTTACACATGTATCCCGTCTCCGTTTTGACTGTCATAAATGTTTGGGAGACACTTGCCATACACACTGCGGAGCCCGCAACTCTAAAATAAAAATACAGACATGTTTTTGTTTCTTTTTCTGCTTGCTATCAGCTGTCACAATGCTTTCGGCATCTTCCTAAGAATGTGTACCTTGGGAAGCCTTGTTAAGACTGGTGATCAAAGTGCCATTCCTGATCGTTTTGGAGTCTTGACATGATAACTAGATGGAATTCTTCCCTTGATCTCCTCTGACACTGCGTCTTCACATCTCGTTCCTACAAGCAGGCTGGGGAGTCGTTACATTTTTACTGTCAGTCTCCTTCTCTCTGTGACCCATGCAACGGCTGTGACTGTAGAGGAAAAACCCGCCAGAATTCCAAGGAGATGCCCCCACAGCCCTTCAGGCTTGTTGGAACGCGTGTGGAAGTTCTGG